ACTATTAAGTTCAAATATAAACTATAAAACCTAAAGGGTGTAAATAGAAACTTTTCAAACTTACTAGGTCAAATATTTATCTTATAATAATCCTATATTATCCATATTTAACCAAATCCATCAATTTTGATAAGGATAATCATTCCAAACATAAAAAATCGATTTTAGGCAATAAAAACGAGTTTTGGTAATTATCCACATCAAAATCTGACCAAAAATTCGAAAAACCCGGCAACTGAACAGCCAACTCGTCGAGTCCTCTTTGGAACTCGTCGAGTTCAAGCTACTCGTCGAGTACTAAGAGCAACTCGGCGAGTTCATCGGGCAGACAGCAAGAAATTTCGATTTTCAGGTCTTTGGCAGTTCAATTATGCATCTATTCAATAGAAAAACGACCTAGGCTCTGATACCACTGATGGGTTTTGAGCATAACATCAATCCTATGGTGTTCATGCAACCCTAATTGCTTGGATCTAGTTTTTCTACTTTGAACATGCAATAAACTTCCAAGACTTATAAACTCTAGATCTAGCACACAAATAATCAAATTAACATATAAACTAGGATTTAGATCTTACCTAGATTGTTATATAGCAATAACAATCAATTCATTGGCTTCAGAAAGCTTAGTGCCTCAAGTGTTGCACCTCTAATGGAGTCACAAACACCACTAAGCAACTTGGATGAAGAGGGAGGAGAGAGGAGGCACCAAAAACGGCTAGAAACCCTAAAGGAACACATAGCCACGTTTTTGGGTCTCAAGGGTTCTTTAAATAGGTAGGCAATTAGGGTTATCTAACAAGGAAACCCTAATTTGACTGCTTAAGCCCTAAGCAGCCCATGGACCCCTTCTGGAACATGCCTTGGACGATTTCTAATGGGCTTCCCATAGAATTCGTCCAACCTATTATTCCAAGGTGATCCATAGCCCAATTGCAATTATCCTATAATTACAATTCCAGTCCCCCAAGTTTAATTAATCTCTTTTAGCCACAGAATTAATTCTTTATTAATTCTTGACTAATATTAATTAACCAATATGATTTCTCCTTTAATATATTATTCTTATAATATATTAATAAATCATAATTAAACCTTTCTCTCCTTAATTCATCCTACATATTGCTATGGTGAAGGCAACCCAAAAGGATCATGCTCATAATCGGGTCAAGTACATACCAAAATAGTTATGGACTTAGACACTAATCCAACAGTGAAGGGAAATGAGGCTATAATGGGGTTTAAATATGAGAAATACCCTAAAAATTAGGATTTGCATGACGGGCACGTACGCCCTGCGTACAGACGTACGCTCAGAGTACCCACGTACGAATGGCGTACTCCCTCAAACCCAAAATTACGAAAATGCCGCTAGGGCCCTTATTGCACTCTTTCTTATACATGGGGTCTAAATTGCAATATAAATAAATCATAGGGCCAGATTAAAAGTATCTCATCATCGGGATGTTACAGTTACATTTGAATATTATATGAAATTCAATAAAATGAAAAAAAAAAGAAAAAAAAACCCATAAAATGACAAATGGAAAAGAAAATTAAAAAAAAATCTTAGAAAATGACATGTGTCAAATGCAATGAGAGAATGACATGTGGAAAAAAGATCTTTATTTATTAGGTTAGATGTTGAAGTCTTGATTTGATAGTAATACATGTATAGAGTTTTATAATTTATATCATTCTGTTAAGAATGAAATGTTAGTGTGTGGGTAATGTGGCTATGCATTCATATGTTACAGGTTCAGTAGATACATATGAATCTATTTTTCATTATGATTAAGTGTTTCATGGTGGTACACCTTACTAGACACTAGGCCTGGAAATTGAGCGGGTTTTAACCCTGATCTGATCCAAACCTTTAAGAATTATATGAGTTTAGAGCATAGTTTTTGATCTGTTTACCTGTTAACAATCCGTCCCGCTAACCCTTTTATTAAAAGGGTTAGGTATGGATCATCCCTGATCCGCTCTTTTATAACCCGCCCCATATAAATTTTAGAATTATACATTTATATTCTATACTGCCTAAAGTTTACTTTTAATTGCAATCGAAAGTCCAAAGGGGAAAGGCCAATGACCAAACTGTTTTTACATGGGACTCGAGGACTCGACTTCTAGACTTCCAGTCTTTTATCAAGAATCATGATGTTATTTCATTTATATTTCATCAAACAATCACCAATTTCATTTATAAATCAATAAAGTCATTTATCAACCAGAAGAAAGTTTGCAATTGTATTCTCCATTAGTGCAATCGACGATCAAAAACCAATCAGAAGTTACTACAATAATGATTTCAATTCCAATCGAATGTCCTCGAGCACATAATGCGTTTTCTAAATCAACATTTGTTTTATTTAATAAATGTTATTTTAAAATTTAAGTAAAATGTGTTTTATTATTCAAAAACCCTACGGGTTATAGGGCGAGTTTGGATATTTGTTGATTCGGTGGATAAGGGTATGGGTTTGATTATTCAAAACCTTGCGGGTTACGGAGCAGGTTTGGATCGGATTTTGAAATTTGTTAAAAGGATTTTGATCTAGGACGATTCGCTCCAAACCCGCCCCATCGCCAAGTCTACTAGACACCCAAAACTAAAAAAGATATAAAGCCAAAATAGGAATGGCGAATTTGATTCATACAATGCATTTGTCCAAATGAACAAAACTTATGTATTTCAAGTTGGATTTGATATTAGGCAAGGAACAAATATGAAGAAGGTTGATGCTACTCTCTATGTCCATTCTCAAAAGTGACCTTAATCCCATTTTCTTACTATAACTCTCTGTGTCGATGCCAAACATTTAAGGTTCATGCTTATCTTTGCAAGTTCCTATGCATCCCACATTGGTTGGGAAGAAGAAATTTTTATGGGTTTATAACTTTATTCTCTTGATACGCCTTGTAAACTGTATAATCGAGTTTCTTCTATTTCTGAGTATTCATATTGCATTTATCTCTTCTTCCATAATTGTTAGAACGTGTGATACACTGCATCAAATCCTGGGTGTTTATGTTGAAACTTACAACCTTAAAGTGACGTAAAAACTTTTAAGCATAGGAGCTTCTGTCGTGCAATCTACACAAGTCGTCATCTGCAACTACGAGGTTGGTTTTACTTTTGTTGTTTCGTCTTTACTTTTGTCAGATAACGGGACATCCTTTCTTCTACATTTTTTATAATCAGATCTGATCCCGAAGGATAAATCTGTTTTCTGGACAAAACTTGGTAAATATTAATAATAATTGGATTTATTATTCGCAACTAATTGACATATAATTCTCAATATTATTTATCGATTTTCTTACATGTCTATTTGATCTGATTTTCATCACATACATGTTTATAGATTTCCTTCAAAATAATTCATGGCCAGTCTCAAAATAAAAATTAAAAAGTTAATTTAAATAAAAACCCAAATATTATGGTTAAATGCACATCTTACACCTTATGTTCATTGCGATTAATTTTTTTTTTTATGAAAATACGAATTCATCGAGATTCTTCACGGGTTGCATACCCAACCAAAGAGTCATCCTGCGACCCCATTTTTTGCTCGGTGCACTCCCCCTGGCGGTACCGCCGGTACCACCAGCTCATTTTTTGTCTTCTCGAGCCACTACGACCAGCCTAATGAGTTGTATTCTTGAACTTTGACTTAAATTATTCACAAAGTCTTGAGATTGACTATCTACGATGCATTCTTCTTCCTACTCGCGAGAATTTACTCTTTATTCTCTAATATACTTTGGATAATAATGTGTCTATTGTGAGTATTGTTTTGTATTGCTCTTTTTTATAATAAACTAATGATTAAACACATCACATTGGAATATTAGTTGACATTTAATGTAGAAAGAGTTTAATGATTATTGAACTCTTCAGTGAGAAAAATAAAACATTTTTAAGGGAAAAAATTATAAAATTGTAAAAATTAAAATAATCCTCATATACATCTTTTGGAACCGTCGGTTGTATTAACGGAAGCCACGCCTCCATATTCGAGGAGAGGTCCCGAGTTCGAGATCACAGAGGGGCAAACTCGAACCCATAGGGGTCATAGGGAGAAACTTCACCACATAAGGGGTTGGATGAAGGAATTATGTAGTTGGTTCGATTCGAACACACAACCTTCACCCCATGTGGGTTATCAAACACGGATCTCACTATCGGCTAGGCTGGAGATCATTTGCAATCTTCATATACATTGTGGACGTGCTTATAACTAATAACTATTTTAGAGTTTCATCATGTTAAGACTGGAGTTTCATGACCATGTTTTCATTTTGATTCCATAACTATCCCAAAAGATTGAATTGAACAACCTTTTTTTTAAGGTGTTAGGCTAAGCTTATTTAAATATCTTATTAACTTATTAACGGTTTCATATCACTATATAAATTAAAAAGGTGTTTGAATAAAAAATAATTTATTCCGATAGAAAACCTCTAATAAGTTATCTCACACTTGTTTTTTTATAAGTTAATATTTTTTTTTTTTTTTTGCCTAACACCATCTTATTATAACAACTATCCCAAAAGACTGAACTTTTTAATACATTACAGAAATAAAAGTAGTAGAACTGTAAAAAATAAATAAAAATAAAAATAAAATTAGTTGAACTATTCTATAATTAAACTACATAATGTTTCAAAAAGATTTCCATGTTAAGACTTAGTTGCACGTCCCTATTTTTGTTATTATTCACTTGTAACGATTTGATTCCATTACCATCCCAAAAGACTGAATTGCTGTATTGCACAACCTCTATTCAATTATAACTCCGAATCGGAAAATGTCCAAAATATTCAAGAACGAATTTTCCAATTGCACAGGAAGATTTTCATCTCCGTTTTCAAGTAGCATTCCTAATTTAAGTTCTATAGATACAAACCATTCATTTGCATACTTCTTACTAGAGAAGCAATGATCGTTCAACAGTCAAATTAATTAACGCTAACAAATTTCAAGAAGACATGCATAACGTTTCTGCACCAAAAAGATGGGTTCACCCAAACCATTAATCTCCGGTTCTTTTCTTGAGACCTGTATAACTTATCCCCCAAACACAAAACGAAAAAAAGAACTGAAATGTTATCTCCCTATGATCATACTAAATTACTAATACTAAAACCACTAAAAACTAATATCAGTCAGCAGATTAAGGTCAGCATTTGAAACACCGAAAAAGGAACTACCCCATCATAACATAAGAACAACCTTATAGTGCTATATAATCTATTTCGTCTCCTTTAATCCATATGTTAATACGACTGGTTAGGCCATATGAAGAACTCAGCTGAAGGTGGCAGCAATGTCATCGGAACTGAAGTTTCAGGTGCACCACCATTCCCAGAGTGAAGATGGTGGAACAAACTTTGATGATGATACAATGCTGTTGTCGAGTTTGGATCATATGGCAAAGCATAAACAGGTGGTGCACCGGAAAAGTTGATACTGTTTCCATTGTTGCCGCCACCATAAGGCGGCAGTTGGTGGTGGTTACTGATCAGAGAAGGTTTCTGCTCCGCCTCGGAAGTCACTTTCAGACGTTTTGCAGCTCCACCAACTGGAAGAGAGCTACTAGAAATTGCTTCCACGTCATACCTATTCATCTCAAAGTTTGTCACTGCGTTCATTCCTCTGAACTTGATTGCTGCTATGTCATATGCCTCAGCTGCTTCTTCCTCAGTAGCTACAAGATCATGATCATATTGTCATCATAAAACATAATATAAGATATAAATGATTATTATATTAGTTTGAGTATTATTTTGTTTTTTTATAACTTACCAAAAGTTCCTAGATAAAGATCTTTGTTTCCTGCAACACGCCCTATTCTTGCTTGCCAACGACCTTGTTGGTGATGCCTTGTAACCCCTCTATAGATCGATGCTCCCCTTGAGAATCCACTACTTTTCCTGTTAGAATTAAAAAGAAACGTGTCATAAAGATATAAACTTTTTAAACTTGTTTGATGAAAAGTTATGAGTTAGAAGTTAGAACATTAATGAGATAAATAAATCAAGAGGTTGAACCTTCTTAGGGAGGCGATGAATTCTTGTTTAGTCGCATGTTTCATGTCTTCCAATTCTTGTGCGTATTTTGCAACCTAAAAAGCAAGATTAAAACAAAATTAAAAACGTATCACTTTTGATTGTTTACTTTTTTATATATATTAAAACTTAAAAAGTAAAGATTTTATGAAATGGTGTAGGATAATTACGGGAAAGTTTGTAGTAGCGGTGGGACCCCAGTACTTGAGAGCAGCCAAATCGTAAGCTCTTGCTGCTTTGTCTTCTTTGTCATAACCACCTGGTTATGCATTAAAACATGGTTAGTTACTTAATTATAATAATGCAAAGTTAAAAGAAAATTGATATGAATGAAAGAAAATGAAATGAAAAAAGAAGAAAATTTACTCACCTAAGTACACTGCAGATGAGAAAATCGAAAGTAGAGTGACCACACATGCAAAAGAATCCAAAAAACATTAGCTCACAATATTAATAATGGTCCATGAAATGAAACGAGGATAAAAGTAGTTTTGAGATAAAAGTAAAAGGTAAAGATTGCAAGCACTTTTGGTATATACATTTTTGCACGGGTAGGAATATATTTACTAGACAAAAATGTAGATAAGAATAGTCGTTTCAAGTCCCTAAAAATGTCCAAAAGGTCACGGGAACAAATGGGGTGGGTTCCAAAGCTCACTCAAAATGGACATTTGTGACTACATATTGAAAATCAAAGGTTTCCATGAGAATGAGAGAGTGTTTGACTTGGTCAAAGCAATGAAGAATGCAGGGGTAAAAGAGGAAAGGAAAAGCAAAAGTGAAAAGCAAAGGCATGTATGTACAAAAGCACAGAGAACAGCAGACACACTAAGTAGGATTCAGACTAGTGTAGGTATGTGAAATTGATGGATAGATAGATATGGAGAGAGAAAGAAAGATGAGGGGGGTAATCTGTAATATCCAATGGACAAACTTGTGCCATTTTAAGGGAAAAGAAAATCCAACTGGTGTTAGCATAAATACAGAAATAAAAGAAACTAGAAGAAAGTACAAGAAATGGTACAATTTACAAACATCAATCAATCATCATCATAAACAACAGCAACAACATCAACAAACTTTTGATAGATTTGAAATCCAATCCATGATCATAATCTAACTTCAAACTCAAATCTTTTTTCAAAAATTCAAACACAATGTACAAGATTTAATGCACGATCATGATCATAAACTCATAAGTTCATAACTCTGTTCTTGTTTTGATTCAAAAGAAAATTACCTTGTCGTCCTTTTCTTGCTTGACCCTCTCTTCTACAGCTATTATCCCAAAGATGCGCTTCGTATCTACCAGTCCACCTATGTCTGCACACATCAATATGTCTCTAGTGTTTAGTTTACTGTTCAATCTTTAATGCATAACGTACACATAATCCTTCCTCTTTTACCAAAAATCAAACACCTTTGCATACCTAGTAACACCTCTGTAGATCGAAGTTCTTTGTCCAAAAGTATCACCGATCTTCTTACAGTTATTATTCTGATCACCTGAATCAACAGCTACGACTGCCTGCTTCTGATCGGAACCCTGGGCGCCATGTTGGGTGGTAATACCTAGCGACAAAGCATTCATCGGACACTGTACATAAGCCAACTCGTTGCCGCCGGCGGATTCCATCGACTGTCCGGCAAACTCGGTCAGATGGGTACCGGAGTCGTCCACTTCCGACCCCGAGTTCGTCGAGAATGTCTGGAACCCGGCGGTGGTGCACGCGAGACCGTTTAGATGATCTTGTTGGTCGGAGAAGTAGACGGAGTTGCTTCCGTCGTACATATGGGTTAACGATGACGAGTCTTGTGTTTCCGTCTGAGATACGTCGGTGTAACGAAAAGACTGCATAGAGTGGGTGTTGGCGGTGGTGGTGGTGGTGGTGGGTGTAAGGGTGGTTTCGCCGCCTAGGAAGTCTTCCAGCTTTGGTGCTTGTTGCTGGTTGATATGGGACTCCATGAAGCTTCGGAAAAGCGGTGAATCGCCGCCACCGTCTTTGACATCCCCGTGACTATTCCCGTTGTCGCCGGTGTACATCGGTGAAGCCTTTCCACCGCCGTTAGTCCAACCTGCACCAGCGGAAGTTAGTAACTCACTACCACAACCAAACTCAGTTCAAGACATGCAAATCAACAAAGAGAATCCAAAGATATATATACATATAAATAAGTATATATATCCCCAGAAAATCAAGCAATAATTTGTATTTTTGTCTTGAAAGTTACATCATCAGCTATTTATTTCGACAAACTTGCACAAACAAATCGTATTTTTCTCAACCACTTACGTTCTTTTTCCGACATTAAAACCGAAATCTTGGGTACTGTTTATCTTTAAATAAAAATCCAAATTTGTTTTAGAAAAAAAACAGCTTGAAATCTCATTGATCCAAAATCTAGCACAAAAGCCAAGCATATTTGCAGTGGGAATAACCCATAACTGCACCTCAATTAGTCTGTACTAAATTCTCAAGAAAAGTTAACAAGAAATATACCATTTGCATAGAAATTATCGTTGAAGTAATACTGCTGAGGCTGAGAGGTGGAAGAAGTGAACATCTCCATTGGAGAGAGTGAAAACGAGAGCCAGTTATTATCCGGAGCCATTGATTTGTGGTGGTGTTTAGTGACCTAAGTTGCTACAATACGATTAGAAGAAGAAGAACCCGAACCCAACATTACCAATGAACGCTTAAAGTGTTAAGAATATGATGATGGTGGAGGCGAAGAATGGAAAAGAGAGAAGATTAGTGTTGAAGGGAGCACATGCAGAAGCTAGCTTTCCGGCACCGGCAAAGGCAGGGGTAGTTGTATTGACTGTTCTTGAATGTTAATTGTTAAAGAAAGAGAAATAGAAAGAGAGAGGAGAGGAGAGGAGAGGTGGAGGTATATAATGGGATGAAAGAGTCGGTTTCATCTGCCACACCGGCGGAAAACCAGAGGGAAAAAACAAAACATTGTCTCTTCGGTTTCATTTAATATTACTATATATTTACTGCATTTTATCTTTCCATCCAAACAAACAATTAAAAACTTTTACTTTATAGTATTTTGTGAAAGAAAAAACTAAAATCATCCGTTTTCATGGTACCCTATTCCGTATAGAAGTATATTTAAAAGAAATCAGGATGGGTAAATCTTTGTTTTATCTTAGGTTGGGGTGAGAATTTCCATCCCAAAATACTCATGGTTTTAGTTCCCATTCCTTTGAAGTCGTATTCATATAAAGTTTTTCCAAAATGTAGTTTAGAATTTATACACGATTTTAGATTATAATTTTGTCATTGTTGGTTCATATTCAATGGACTTACATCCTCCCGAAGTCGGGATATCAAATCTGCAAATTTTCAAAGTTCAATCTACTAAGTAATTACAAAAAAAAATCGGTTTTTCCGAGTTTTCCGGTTCTAGACCCACTTTATCGGGTTCCATGCACCCTACCCCTTTGATGTTTCTGGATTCTCTTGTTCTAGATCCGCTTTACTTGGTACCGTACCCGAAACTGAACCATAACCAGTTCCTATATACCGATCCGATTTCTGGTCCTACAAAAACATGTTAACAAGTTTCCGGGTCCAGGTCCATTCGAGTCGGGTTTGGCCCACTTTCATCCCTATTTTGAAGATAATTTTGAGGATAATAACATCATATAGAGAATCAAGGTATCCACTTCATCCCCTTTCTTCCTATAGTGATATTAATGGTGAAATTGGAAGATTACATGGAACATGTGTTAGGGACTCTTCATGCATGTGTGTTTTAAAATTAGATTATAATTATACAAGTAGAGTAAACATGATCTTGATAAAAAAATCATCAAAAATTGAGCTTCAGTCATGCAAACTGGTGAGTAAGGACATAAGTTATAAACCATAGTTTTTGTGGGTTTCTAGGCATTCTTGAATTGAGTTAGATGATGATATCATAAGTAGAATAATGATGTTTCCATGTTATATCAGCGTGATTGACCTTTGATTATTGAATGTTATTATATTTTGGTCAAGAATCATAAAATTGGAAATAAACAAGTAAAGGCTAATGTAATATGATGCAAGAACCATGTTGTTGGTAAAGATGAGCAAATTATATTTGGTTTTGTTTCCACTTTTCCAATCATTCTAGATACAAATTTCGAGCTTGTTTATTTGGGATGTCAAAATTTTGAGAGAATCTTACAAAATAAATTAAGCCTTTGTGGATAAGCTAGGCAAATTTAAGGTAGAAAAAATCAGAAGATTACATAACTTATGTAAAGTGAGTCTTAAGATCAACACTCTACGTAGAAAAAGTATCAACAACACCCTAATTACCCATGATAAAGTTAATGTTACCAACACCTACCCCCAATGAGAGCTTCCCAAAATGGTACTAACATGAGGGAAAATATTCCTCCATGCATGAGACCTTAAATCAAAAAGAAATAGGACTAGACATGACACCCCAATGGAAGACCCTATCTAGATATCATAAACTTTCCCTAAAGAAACTGACTAATAACATAAGCCCTATAAGTTTGGTATACCATTTCTTGTCTAATTGCTTGATTATATTATGCATGGTAGCCTAGGGTCCAGTGTTATGTATGATTAGCATACACGAGTGATGCAGGGTTGGTGGAAGTTTCATTGATGAGTTGTGTGGGGTCAGCCGACCAGTCGCGTAATGTTTAGCCTTCCTCTAGGAAGTGAGGATAGATTGTATGCGTTTTCTAGTGTGTATTGTTAGGGTTGTTGTGATGATCCTCTGAGACAAATACGGGTAGGTGTGGAAGGTAGTATGGGCTCGTACAACTGGAAGCACAAGACTCATATGCGTAGCAGGGAAATCACAACCCCTAGGGTTTTGTTTGGGAATTGATCCCCATTGTGTTATATGCTTTTTATCTGATATCTCCCTGTTTTATTTAAGTATGGCGATTACGAGACGATTTGAGGCAGAATCAGGATCAGGAGCAGGTGGCCATAATGGGCCAGCATTGACTGAGGACCGGGTTAGGGAGATCATTCAGGAGGAGGTTGTTTCCCTATTTCGGGCACAGTTACCGGAGATGTTTGGGTCCATTAAGACCAATATGGATGAGTACTTTGACGATCGATACGTTGCACTTTCTGAGACTGTTGCTGCTGCAGCCACCGCAGTCGTTGTTGCTGTCGGTATTGGCGTTGGGAGAGCCTTCCAGTACCGGGACTTTGACAATACGAAACCCATGTTATTTGATGGAATTCATGATCCGATCATAGCCATGAGCTGGTTGTCTGACGTCGAGGGATGTTTCTTCACTTTCTCTTGCCCAACTGACCAGAAGGTCAAGTGTGCTCTAAACCTTCTTCGGTCCGGAGCGAAGGATTGGTGGAGACTTGTTACTAGCTCGTATTCTTCTAAGTAGAGGGCTATAGTGACTTGGGAGCAGTTCTCTGAGATGTTTCGTTCTAGATGTGTTCCGCTGGTGGAGCGAGAGAGGTTGGCCCATGAGTACGTGGATTTGAAACAGGGGACTGAGTCGGTGATTGTAACACCCGCAGATTCGGACTAGTCAATTAAGATATAATAAGCGTTAAAAATGATTTTTTTTAAGATTACATACGATAAATAATCTTAACCAAAGTAATAGTTATGGTCAACAATTGTAACCTATTTGATTTAATAAAGAACAATTATGTGAATATTATGGCTTTTGTGATCATTATAATATAATAAAATTAATAGTTATGTATAAGATATAAAAGTCAGCCGCACACAACGAATGTATGACGTAAAAAGCTACAAAGAGAATGGTTGACTTTTAGCTAAAACCACCAAAAAGAGAAATCGTAGTACTCTTTAAAATAAGATTTTTGAGAAAAAGAATGCCAAAAACGGTGTTCATACGAGAGAGTTATGATTTTAGCAAAATCATTTAATTTTATAAAAATATGGACAAAAAAAATAAAGTCAAAATTAGTCGACGGAGTCTAAACGAAAGTTGTAGATCTCGTCGATAGCTACACGTGGATATAAAGAATGTCAAAAACGGAGTTCATATGAACGAGTTATAATTTATAATAGCATATTTACGTATTAAAAATAAAGTATAAATCATATATACGTATACATATATATACATATGTAAATATCATTAGAAAGGTATTGACGATGCGGTCATTATAAGACTAGTGTTGAGTACTTTCGACATTAGTTTAATACAAATATCGTTTAAAATAGCATTATAAATGGATGTTTAGTCATTTAAGTAACTATAGAGGGTGGTTTTTGAAAATTCAATTACTAAAAGTAAGAGCCTCTAGGCTATCATATTTCTTGCACCATTCTCCTTATTCAAGATTCTTTCTCTTCTTATCCCCCGAGCATTTCGCTCCCTCGTGATTCGACTTCTCTTTCTGTAGTTTTAGTATAGTAAGGTGAGCGCTGAAGCGCTATAAGAATCTTTTTAGAAAGTTTCAGCGACGAAGTTCTGCCCCTGCAAAGCCCGGATCCTACCTAAAACCCCCTTGTAAGTAAGTTATGCTTACCCTACTTTAAGTATAACTTATGTTTAAGTTCATTATCGTTATTATGAACCTATAAACAATATATGTGCTAAGTATTATAAATTATACAAAGTGTTGTTATAATACCTTTTAACCGCTCACGGTACGGGGAATCTGGTTTGAAGGGCCGCATAGGGCTGTTGGATTTCAGAACAGCTTAAATGCCAAAATGGTCCTACCCTCCGATGTTTCATGTTTGGCTCCTGTCTGTACATAGTAGTTGAAAAGTATTGTTTAACACTTATATAATACAAGAAAAAAACAATATTTCTCGTAGAACTTGAGTTAATAATAAATCCAAACTAATAACTAGTCGCAATAAATATTAGACTAAAATCTAGTGATAATGATACTAGGTTTCGTCGAAGGAAAATAAAATTGTTAGAAGCGAAGCGATGCCCGAGTTTGGAGTCATCACTTTAAGAAGTGATGATTTAGAGTCTGTAGACGATTTTATACTATAATTTTGTTGTTTTTCATATTATATTCAATGAGTTACACTCAATCAAAGTTGGAATATCAAAGCTGAAATATTCAGCTTTTCAGCAATAAATTAAAATTTTGTATTTTGTAAAATTGTTTAAACAAACATATCTCATTCGTTTTTAGTCGGATTGACATGCGGTTTCTTTCAACGTGTAATTTAGAGTTTGTAGATGATTTTAGACTATAATTTTGTTGTTTTTGATATTATATTCAATGAGTTACAATCAATCAAAGTTAGTGGAGAGTAAACGCGATTAGGTTCCCGACAGTGCTCGGATGGCGAAAGGTGATTACTTTTTTTTAGGCTTACATAGTTTCTTTATAAATTAATGTCTTTACAATTTAATTCTTTTATTGTTAGATATATTCGCGATACGAATCTCAAGTGTGGCGTTCGAGTCCGCGTTTAGCACATGTGGTAGAGTTGTAAGTGAGTATCGGACTAGTTTATCGACGTTGATAGTTGAAGCTTTGTTATGCACCCAAGATTGGGTGAGAAGTCTACACATCCAATAATTGACAACGTTGAGGACATCTTGATGGATGATGATATAGTAAAAAATTTATACTCGTTCTTTTTTATACAATTATTACTTTTTATTTAATACTAACAACATTTTCATTTTGTGTTTATATAGAGATTGCGCAAGCTTTAAACATGTTAGATTTAGATGACAATGATATCGGGAGGAGGCCAATGGAAGATTAGATTATGAAGTTTGTTAGTTGGATTAATTTTAAAGTTTAAACTATGATTTTTGGTGTTACGGTAATTACTTTTGCATGTTTGTGTTAAGAACTTAAGATTGTTAACTTTTGTTGGTAAACTTGATATATATGTTA